AGCGGGAGAGGTGCGGGGGTGGTGGGATACAGAATCAGAAGCAGGCTCCTGGCTCTGAGCTGTCAGCATAGAGCCCTACACGGGGCTCGAACCCATGAACCGTGAGATCATGACCTGAGCCGAAGTCAGATGCTTAACCGACTAAGCCACCCAGGCGCCCCTCCAATTCACTTTTTAATCTTTTTTCATTGTGTCTTCCTCAGTGAATTACAGCATGAGGGCAGGGGCCTTTTGATAGGCTCATTGCTGTACCCACAGAGTCTAGGTTCTCCATAGACTACTGAGGTTGAGATTTATTAGCCTGGGAGTCTAAACTTTGGTGTGACCGGAACCCCCTTGCACAGTGTTCCTGTGTTGCCCTTTTTTTCCTCAGGCTTTCTGCCTTTGGCCCGATGCCCAGGACTGTCCCATTTTCCCTTCAACACCCAGTGACCGAACTACGTGCCAGCTACTCTTCAAAGCACTTCAGCTCATTTAGTCCTTAGACTCATCCTTTCGAATGGGAAATACCACAGTCCCCATTTTACAGATGAGAATGTTGAGGCTGGTGATTTCTGTAACGTGGCTCTCAGAGTGACTGGGAAGGTCTGCTCTTGTACCCGGGCCATTTGGCCTTGAAATAAACCTACATTCTTCACCCTTCTGCTCTCTACTTGGCAGCGCATTCAGTATGCCAAGACTGACTCGGATATCATTGCCAAGATGAAGGGCACCTTCGTGGAGCGGGACCGCAAGCGGGAGAAGAGGAAGCCCAAGAGCCAGGAGACCCCAGCTGCTAAGAAGGCCGTGCAGGGTGGGGCAGCCGCCCCCGTGGTGGGGGCTGTCCAGGGGCCTGTCCCGGTAAGCCAGAGCCCAGGGATACTGTTCTTTCCCCCATCAGGCCTTCCTCCTGGCCTGGCTTATGGGCACAGTGTATGTGTAGGGGTCTCCCCTTGGGCATTCACACCCCCTCTCCTTCATTTCCTTCTAGAGATTGTGCGCCTGTCTCAGGGATTAAACACCTGTGTAATGGTGTCTGCACTTAGAAATGCCTCCTTGCTTGCCCAGCTTTCTCAGGATCTCTCTCTGTGTGTCAGTCCTTTGTTTTTTGTTTTTTTTTTTTCTCCCCTTGACCTTGATCCTGCTGCCTGTGTCTTTTAAGTTAATGCCTGTGCAGAAAATCCAGAGGAAGCCACGCATCAACTTTTTCTGGATTAGCGAATTTAATTTAGCAGGGCCACCAGACATAAGGTCGGTACGGAAGAGGTTTTATTTCCGTGTGCTAGCACCAAAGAAGTAGACTCCAAACTGAAAAAGAGCTCGGGAGTAAATCCAACGGAAGGTGTGTAGAATCCCCCACCAAAACAACAGAATCTCGCTGAGAGAAGTGGGAGATGAATTCAACAAATGGATGCGAGACTCAAGACTTGTTGAGATGTCAGTTCTCCACATTGGTCTAAAACTCAACACAGTTGCAATCAGAATGCTAACAGGAATTGTGGGAAGGCGCTGGCAGTCTGTTTCCAAGTGTCTGTGGAAAGGCAAAGCGAGGCAGGTGAGAATAAAGCTGGCGGACCTGCTGTAGTCATCAAGATGATGTGACGTTAGCCTAAGGGGAGGAAGATGGACCAGGAAGCAGACAGAACACAGTCCAGAAATAGGTCTGCACAGGTGTGGTTACTCAGCCTATGAAGTTACCACTGGGGTCCAGTAGTGAAAGGCCTTTTTTTTTTTTTTTTTTTTTTTTTTTTTTGCTGGTAAATGGTGCTGGGCCAACTGGGTATCTGTAAGGCAAAGAATTAGTTCTACCTCACCTGTTATCAGTTAACTTGAGATGAATTATAGACCTCAGTGTGACAGCTTAGAACAAAAAAGATTCTAGAAGGAAACAGGAAAATGTCTTTGGGACCTTTGTGAGGCCACAAAAAGTAGAGCCATCCTGTTTTCTAAACAGAATCGAGAAAGCCCCTAGTAGGATAGATGAATTACATCTGCTCCTTATTTCTGAGTCTCCACGTTGGCTTTTCTGACCGGATCACCCTGTATTTGTCCTACTTTTACCCACGCCAGCTCCCCTTTTGTCTGGCATCGGCAACGGTGTCGGAGTCACTGCCCAGCTTCCCTGTTCTTACTCACTCTCCTCTTCTGCACCCAGCTTTTTGTCCACTTTTTTTTGTCTGCAGCTGTGATTTCAACTCTAGCAGCCCCACCTCCCCGGGGTGCCTTCCTGGGTATCTCCCCTGGGTGCATGAGTTGTGTGCCCTCAGACTGGCTCCCTTCTCCCCCTTTGCCACCACCTCTCCCATCTCTTTCTGCATCTGCCCCGACTGTCCCTGTCCACCTCTGCCTTGCACTGTGTTCTTTTTTCTGCAGGTCCCTTTTTTTTGCCTTGAAGTTTATTTTTGGAAGAAAAAGTACAGCTTGCTCATTATAGCATTTCTATTCACTCCTTTTGTTAACAATTGTCAGCATTTGATTTTTTCCAGTATTTTTTTTTTTTTCTGCTCCTATATTGATAAACAAAGTTAGGTCACGTTGACTGCTTTTTTTTATGTTAGAAAAAAAATTTTTTTTTAACTTTCTGGCTTGAGTTTGCCCTTGAAGCTTGGGTCTGGTTTGCTCCATCCATTTCCCTTTGGGTGACCTTTGTCTCTATAGGTCCCTTTTTCACCTCTTTCCAAATCTGGGTCTTTCTCCCTGTTGTCTTTCACACCCAGGGTTTCTTCTGATGACCTCTTCTCTCTGCCTCCTGCTGACCCCAAACCTGCCTCCTGCCCGTCAGCCGCCCCCCTCAGTCCTGCCTCCCTCTCTCTGCAGGGCATGCCCCCGATGACTCAGGCACCCCGCATCATGCACCACATGCCGGGCCAGCCTCCGTACATGCCACCGCCTGGCATGATCCCGCCTCCAGGCCTGGCGCCCGGCCAGATCCCACCAGGGGCCATGCCCCCCCAGCAACTTATGCCGGGGCAGATGCCACCTGCCCAGCCTGTAAGTGTCTACTTCTGGGGTCTCATACAGTCAGAACACAGGACTAGAAAGGGATGGGTGGGGGTGCTGTTTTAGGGTGGGTGATCCGGGCAGGCCCCCCAGAGGAGGTGCTGTTAGATGGTAAGAATAAGGATATGGCAGTGGGGCCAGGCCCTGGGGTAGAGAGGGATCAGTATGTTTATTGGAAGAACTTCGGAAAGGCAGGGTGAGGCTAGAGCGGTGGCCAGAGCCTAGATTGATTTGGTGAACTTCTGCTCAGCCCCTGCTAATGGATACAGCAGTGCTCTTTGTGGCTTATCGTCCCATGGGGGCAAGGCAGTGTCAACAGGCAACATCAGGTGTGTCAGGTGAAGGACCGGAAGGAACTCCAGTGGGGCAGGGGGTGGGAAATGGGAAGGCGGTAAGTCCCCACTAGACTCACGGGGTCTGTTGACTTCCTTGCAGCTTTCCGAAAATCCACCAAATCACATCTTGTTCCTCACCAACCTGCCCGAGGAGACCAACGAGCTCATGCTGTCCATGCTTTTCAACCAGTAAGTGGGGCCAGTAGCTGGGCAGGGGCCCCATGGGCGATGGCCAGGAGATGGCGCCATGGGGACCAGTCTCGGGGTTGTGCAGGTGGAGCCCTGAGCCCGCTTGGGATTTGCAGGCAGGACAGTGACTGGAGGCAAAAAGGGAGGAAGCAGTAGCTGAGCATGCTGGACCTTCCTCCACTTTTGTGAGGGGTGGGGGAGTCAAGGTTCTGGGCTTCGTCTTTCCAGCCTCTGAGTCAGAAATGCAAGGTGCACAAAAAACAGCCATGAGGTGGCATGGCGCACTGGCTGGATTGGCCATAATTGGCAACTCGAACTGCATTTGCTGGCGGTGGGGATATTTAAAATCCTGCGTGCCGGGGTGTAGGCCACTGTGGCTATCGCACAGGGTAACTGTTCACTGGTTAGTGAAGGAAGGGGAGTGTGTGCTCACCTGGTGGCCCTGCTTATGATCTTACATTCTAAAGAACTTCTTTTTTTTTTTTTAAGTTTATTTTGAGAGAGTGCGTGCACAAGCGGGGAAGGTGGGGGGGCACAGAATCTGAAACAGGCTTCAGGATCCGAGCTGTCAGCACAGAGCCCCAGGCGGGGCCCAAACTCACAAATCGTGAGATCATGACCTGAGTCACAATCAAGAGTTGGGCGCTTAACCAACTGAGCCACCCAGGCGCCCCAAGCGATAGGTATTTTGTAAGAATAGCGGCAGAAGAAAGGATACCTAGTAAACTTGAAGATGGTTGCCTAATGGGGAAGGAAGGTAGGGCAGAGAAGAGGGAATGGAGAAAAACAGCCGATCATAAAAAGGGTGGTGTTTGTTTCTGGAATGGGGTGGGTGGGTTATGATTGACGAAGGACATGGCGGCAGTGTCCTGTTTCTTGGTTTAGGTTATTTATGGTTGCATAGGTGTTCACGTTAAAGTATTTCCTTAAACGATATGCTTATGTTGTGTGTACCTGTTTGTGTTAGGGTTCCTCAATGTAGCGTTTTGCATATTTGGGGCTGGATAGTCCTTTGTTACTGGGAGCATCCTGTGCTTTGTAGGATGCTTAGCAACATCCCTGGCCTCTGCGCTCCAGATACCAAAACGTTAGAAGGAGATGCCAAGTCTGGATACCTGAGGTCTGTTCCCTTTTTTCAGGTTCCCTGGCTTCAAGGAGGTCCGACTGGTCCCCGGGCGGCATGATATTGCATTCGTGGAGTTTGACAATGAGGTACAGGCAGGGGCTGCTCGCGATGCCCTGCAGGGCTTCAAGATCACCCAGAACAATGCCATGAAGATCTCCTTTGCCAAGAAGTAGCACCTTTTTCCCCTGCCTGCCCCTGCCCCCTGTTCTGGGGCCACCCCTTCCCCCCTTGGCTCAGCCCCCTGAAGGTAAGTCCCCCCTCGGGGGCTTTCTCAGAGCCGTGTGTGTGTGAGTGGTCGCCACACAGCATTGTACCCAGAGTCTGTCCCCAGACATTGCACCTGGTGCTGTTAGGTCGGAATTAAAGTGGTTTTTTTTGAGGTTTGGTTTTTCACAACCATTTGTCGTTTTTATTTTCTTGTTCTCTGTGCCTCCCTTTCTCACACATCAGAATATTCTGGGTGTTTGGACCTCTCAGGGTATTGGGGTTTGCAACCTTGGGAAAACACAGAATAGGGTATAACTTTGTCTAAGTTTCAGTTACCTTTACTACTTTGGGAAAATTTCTATTTTGTCTCCATCAGCATTCAGAGCAGGAAATTGAAACCTAGGCTGCCATGTACAGTTGGGCAGGTTGTGTACTGCACAAGGATGCTACCTTTAAGGATACACTATTCATTTTATAGATTTATATGTTTTTTCTAACATGATAGAGTGTTAAGAGGTTTTTCTTTCTTGTTTTTTAATGTTTATTTTTGAGAGAGAGACAGAGTGCAAACAGGGGAGGCAGAGAGAGAAGACAACACAGAATCTAAAGCAGGCTTCAGGCTCCAAGCTGTCAGCACAGAGCCTGATGCAGAGCTCGAACTCACGAACCACGAGATCATAACCTCAGCTGAAGTTGGTCGCTTAACCGACTGAGCCACCCGGGTGCCCCAAGAAAGAGGTTTTTCTTCACCTTTTTCAAATCTTCACAAAAATGCTTTCTGTCATAGCAGCAGTCCCCCAAAAACCATGCTAGATATTTCAGGAAGAAAAGGATGGGAACAGGGTACTCAGGAACTCATTGGAAGAATAGTAGGAGTGGCAGCCTGGGTTGGGGACACTTGAGTTCAGGTTTGCAACCTGTGACTGAACTGTAGTCTGGAGTCCTGATGGAACTGCCCCATCTCACATGGGGAGCTACTAACCAGGCATAAGGGGTGTGGCCCCGTCAAACACTGCTGATCTTCCCTGTCGGCTACCCTCCAGCCAGGAGCCTGGGGCAGGTGACTAAACCAGCTCTGGCTCCAGTGCCCTGGCGGCAGGGGAAGGTCTAGGAAATGTAGTTTCCGGTTGGACAGTCGTGTAATCTAACTGAAACTATGAATGGAAGGGGATCGAATGGGGACCTTCCTTAGTAGTCCCTCACACCCTTGATCTGGAATTTTGTTTTACTTTTGAGAGAGAAAGCACGGGAAGGGCAGAGGGAGAGGAAGAGAGAATCTTTTTTCTTTTTAATGTTTGTTTACTTTTGAGAGAGCATGGTGGGGAGGGGCAGACAGAGAGGGGGACAGAGGATCTGAAACTGGCTCCGTGCTGACAACAGAGAGCCCAGTGCGGGGCTTGAACTCACGAACCATGAGACTGTCACCTGAGCTGAAGTCGGACGCTTAACTGACTGAGCCACCCAGGTGCCCCAAGGGGGAGAGAGAATCTCAAGCTGTCTCCACACCCAGCATGGAGCCTGATGCAGGGCTCAATCTCACAACCATGAGATTGTGACCTGAACCAAAATCAAGACTTGGAAACATAATGGACTGAGCCACCCAGGTGCCCTGATCTGGAAAATTTTTAAAAGTATGTATGTATGTATGTATGTGTGTGTGTGTGTATAAATACATACACACACATACATACATACATACATACATACATACATACATACATATAAAACGTGTGTGAGTACCGGAAGGGAAGGGCAAA